ATAATAATAATAATAATAATAATAATAATAATAATAATAATAATAATAATAATAATATAAAACATTTATAACTGTGCATCCATTTAAAGGAAACTTTGTAGAAGCACCTTTTGTTTGTTTCGGTCAGAGTCTATCAGAGTGCTTGTTGAATTATCATCCAGAAACCACTTGTTGTATTCTTGTTGGTTGTGCAGGAGGCTCCACTTTTGCTTTTCAAAGATGTCCTGTTGTATAACTGTATATCTGTTTGCAGCCATTTTCATGTATGAGTGTAAACAGTTGGGGGCGTGGCCAGCAGCAGCTTATCTGGATTTAAAGTGACAAGACGCCCTAAAAACAGCTCATTATGAACTGAGCAGACTAAAATATCATTATCTAAGAATGATTTTGTGCAAAAAATGTATTGTAAAAAAATGTAAGAAAGCATATAGGTCACTTATAAAAGAGATGTAAAGCAGTAAAACAAACCAGAACCAAAGAAAACATCTTCCTCTTCAATGAAAGACAAAAACATATTCTAACGAAACGCTCAATGGTTCCTTCAGCACAGTTTGTGGTTAAGAAGCGACCTGTCCACCAGGGGGCAGAAGTGTCTTATGTATGGCACTCCTGTCTCCAGGCCCAGTGAACATCCTGTTCTTCAGAAATCTTGCTCCATCATTGTTGCCCCCTGTCACAGTCTCCATCAGTCAGACTCAGACTCATCTTCTCTGCTCATGGTTCGTGTCAGAGCGATTCATTGCCGGTGTCAGCCGTCAGACCACGCCGCAGCCTGAACATGCGGCTCAAAGTTGAGGGCCGGGGTTAATAAACGGTAGCCCTGGCAACAGTGTTGAACGTGTGAGTCAGAGCGGCTCAGGCAGGGCGCTGTGGCCGAACGGTGACGTCTGGCTGCCACCAAGAGTCACATCTGTGCCGAACAAGAGTTGTAGGCCGAATCAGCAGAGGAGCCCTTCTCACATCCAGGGGTCTGTTTTGTTTTCGCTCCACTGTAAACCACAGCAAATCCAGTAGATGACAAGTGCAGCACTGTTTGAATGGTTTCAACATCACAAAGGATTAAAATGCAGTAAACAAAGAGGGAGGAACAGCATGGGTGTTCCTGCTGCTGCAGCTCTGGGATTGTTGCTGTGGTTTTGATTCTTCCAGATCTCTGAAGGGTGGATGTTATTTTTGAAGCTTCCACAATGGCTGCCGGCGTCTTTTTGCTTCGAACTGGACATTAATCTGATTAAATGTACCAACACCGAGAGCCTAGATGACCTGCAGATGGATAATAGGAGGGAAACGAGCATTTAATTGTTAATTAATGGTTTAATAGATTAATATTCCTGTAGTGGTGATTGCTTGTCAAACAAAACAGCCAATTAAAAGTTCAATGAACAAGCTACTGCTGCACTGTGGTGATGCTTCATAGGCAGACAAAAGAAGTCCAATGTCCAAAAACCGTAAAGGATGCTTTTTACAGTTTATTTTTCCAGTTTGACAAGCAAATAATAAAAACCAAACTGTGAATTCTCTCCTGTTGCCTCTCCTGCTCTGGTAAAAAACAAAAAAAACAAACAAACAAACAAAAACCCCACAGGCTCATCCCAGTGCCTGCTGGTCTTATACGAGTCCCTACAGAAAATAGACCCACTGATCTTCCTGTCTAACTAAGGAAAGAAAATAAAAAATCACAGAAACAAAAATACATAAAATAAACAATTATTAGCATACAAATAAACGTTTAGACAACTGAAGAATATCAAGTAAACTAAGAATACATTTAACAAATTTAAAGGTAATAAAAATAAAGGATAAATAGCTCCAACAGTACCAGCAGAGGGCGCCGCTTGAACGGAGCCATTGAGACAGAATCAAAGATGGCGTAGGGATCCCAACGGTGGAAAGAGAAACGGTCCGTTGTCATTACATTATGATAACGTTGGTTATCATAATGATAACGTTGGTTATCATAATGATAACGTTGAAAAAATGCTCTTTTTGCAGTTGTATTTTGAAATATAAACACTCGACAACCTCATTAAGCTTCACCGCTCATTCAGCCGAGCGATATGATGGAGCAACGTCAACTTTACCAACCCAAAGATTACTGATGTGCTACGAAGACGGAAGTGATCATAGAACAGGCATAACAAAACAAACAAACAAACAAACAAACAAACAAAACATGATGCCAATAATAACGGTTGATTATGAGGTCTGTGTGAGTTTTATGTACTTTATGGAGTAACCACAGACTGTACTTTATTTATTTTATTTTTCTTCTCAGAAACTTAAAAGGTTTCTGTTTTATATTTTAAAAATATGTCCAAGAAAAACAAAATTTTCTGTTTATTCAGTCAGTATTTAATACACAACAGGAAATAGTGTTAAAATTTACTGATTTAAAAAAATAGTCCTAAAGTTATAGAAAACATGAGAAAACTCTTGTTTTTAAGAAAATGGGTCAATTAATTATTAATCGATAATCGATTAATCTTTTAATAACTTGCATCCATAGATACTTTTGCAATAAAATTTTGTGGTAAATTAAAATAATGAGCAGCTGTTCTGCCCTGTTATGCAGTTGCATGAAGGGTTTCTGACTTTGGTCACGTTTACACGTTGTAGTTCTGTATGCCAACGTTGGTCCCAGTAAAAAGTAAACATCAACCCACCAAGTTGGGGTCACTCACTTCCAATCTTTGAGCGGCCTTTGTTTGCTGTGCCGCTGCACAGACCCCAGGAAGCTGATTACAAACTGCTGCACTTCCCCAAGATAACAGCAAAATGTTTTCTGCTTTGCATGAAGGCTGGTAACAATTAAAAACCAAGGCTTTTAAAATGTAAAATCCAATTAGTGGTTTTATTTACATTTATAATTTAAAGCCATAACTTGTTAAGCAAAAAAGACAAACATACAGAACAGTTTAAAACCACTCATAAGGCATAATTTATATCATTCATGTTAGTGGTTTATCTTGTTATCCTTCAAGCCTTTTTGAAGGTTTTCAACAGGTTTTCTGTGAACTTCAGCAGCTTTGCAGCTTATTTACACTTCTACTGTGCAAAAATAAAAAGTATTACTAAGTATTTTTGGTATAGATTCTATTGCAAATACCTTAGTACACTTGAAATAAGACAAAACTAACTTTCAAGTAACTTGTCAGTAAGAAACAGGAGCTTGTTATGAATAATTCATTCATATTATATATATATAAAAAATAGTTCTGTCTTGTAATTCACTTACAAGACATTTCCCTCATATTTTAAGTGAAATAATCAAGATAAATAAATAAATAATAAATAATAATATTTTATAATAATAGTTTATTATTAAATCTCCGTTTAATAAATTAAATTAAGCATCTCCGTCATCATTATGTTATAATTTATATTTATTTTTAATTTGATTCATTTATGCAATAAATAAATATCTTACATTTATTTTTTAATTCATCCATCCATTTTCTTTTGCACACTTGTCCTTAGTGGGGCCAGTGGTGCCCATCTCCAGCTAACATTCTGGGTGAGAGGTGGGTTCACCCTGGACAGGTTGCAGGGCAACACAGAGACAAACAACCATGCATACACACTCACACCTAGGTGCAATTTGGAGAGACCAATTAACCTGATAGTCATGTTTTTGGACTGTGGGAGGAAACCGGAGTACCTGGAGAAAACCCATGCATGCACAGGGAGAACATGCAAGCTCCATGCAGAAAGACCAGGGCTGGGAATTGAACCCAGAACCTTCTTGCTGCAAGGCAGCAGCTCTACCAACTGCGCCACTGTGCAGCCCATGTATTTAATTCATTTAGCTCAATTTTTATTTGATGATGTGTAACTAATATTTGAAACAAAAAGCAGAGGCAAACATATTAATGTTGTTTCTGTTGCAGAAACTTCAAGTCAAACATGTAGGTATAGTTCAAATCTGTTTCCATTATTATATTAATAATAATTCTATAGTGAGTTCAACAGCTGTCCAACAAAAACATGTTTTACTGGAGATGAGCAATAATTGCAAACAGAGCATGCTATAGTTGGAAAACTGTAACTTCTTTTCATCTGCATCATAAACATCCCAACATCTTGAAGACATTAGGACGTTTCAGCACCAGCCATACATAACATCTCTGCCTCCTTTTCTTCACAACACAATGCATAATTTCAGTTTGTTTGGCCAGGAAGAAAATCTCCTCCTCTCATTGTGTTGACGAAGCGCTCTTAAACAGAGCCTGGAGTCCAAGTGAAACCAGATTGCCCGCAGAGATAGAGGCTAAAGGGCGCCAAATCAGATGCTGCAGAGACAAATTTCTGCATTTTAAAAACACAGCAGGTCTTTCATGCTTCGTTCACAGTGTAAGCTATGAAGTGACCCAAATCTGATTTTTTTTTTTTTTTGCCTTAATGCGACCAGTATTTGATCTTTTCATTACAGTCTGGACAATACAGGTCAGATATTTTCAAATGCGACCTGAAACTGAACGGCCAGGTCGAATTCATCGAACCTGGACGTCACTGATACTCGACAAACGTCACCAATCTGCGTCTTGACACGAGCAAGCGGTAAGAAAAACAACAATCATGGCGGATATGATGAGGATGAAGTTGTTAAAGTACTGGCTGCGGTCGGACAACAACTTCAAAATCGTAAGCTATGCTCCACCGTTAGCATCCATGTTTACTTCCACAAACACTGAGCAGGCTCTGTGTGACGTTATTGCGCCCTCTACTGCGCATGCGGGTCACTTTGACAAAAAAACGGAATTGGGTCACTCCATGCTGCAGCAGCCTTAATGTAAGCTGCTGCAGCTTCTAAATTCAGATGACAACAAGATCACCAGTTTAAATGCTATCAGACTCATTTAAATGTATTCTTAAGAAGCCAACAAATAGTTTTTATTTGTCTTTATTAAGCGTGTCATGATAACAAATTTTGCTGGACGATAAATTATTGCAATGAACGATAATATTGTTATTTTGGACCATTTCCAAGTTTAGAAATGGCATAATAATGCAAGAAAATATTCTCAAATAATAAACTTTAACTTCTAATGAATTTTAACACTGGAGCTAGAAGACATTTTAAATATCCAAAATAAGTAAAGAAAACAACAGAAACAACAAATAAAATGAATTATGAAGTCTTCCTGAACAAAATAATAAAAGAAAACAGAAAACTTTTGTCATCCAAGTTTTGGTAGAAAGAGAGAGAAGAGAAAACCAATAAATCATGCATTTGAAAATTATTGACATTGTTTTAATTTATCATGTGATTAATTGATTAATTGCTTATTGTCACAGGCAATAAGTTTACCACTTTACACAGTTTACTATGTTAGTTTTATTAATCAGAATTAAACACACAGTTGGTCTCCATTTTAAACCCAATCTTCTTCAATAAACAGCTTTTTAAGTTCTCAGTCTGTTATAGACTATTTTCCAGTCTTTCTTTCTCTCTGGAGGTTCTTTGCTGTGACAAGGCCAAAGCTGATGAAAACACAGCTTCCCTCCACCGGCTGAAAACTTTAAGGATTTTGTTTCGCATCATTTCTGTTTCATTAAATATATGCGATTGGCTGTGACTCATGCTGAAATTCTGTTATTTATCGCTTGATCTGCAGTTTTTATTAGACGACAAATAAAAACGTCACATTTTGGGGAGATTTTAATGCCTCGCTCTGGCCTGCAGCCAAACATAAGATGACTTGTTTTACTTTAAAACTCTCCAGAGTGACTCTTATCTGGACAGCTCAGTGCTGTTTGTTCATTTTGGGTCTCGGAGTGAAGCAGCTGCTACCGGCTGAATTTAAGGTTGTTTTAGGTGGTAATTTAAATAAATAGCCGTTGGGCTTAGAGCCTGAGATGTTTCTGTGTTACTCATGAAGACTAAATAAAGGGGATAATTAAAGTTTTATTTGCTTTCTTGGTGTTTGGCAGCAAACTGGTTCTGAATAAAATTATTTTTTTACTAATAGAGGAAGAAATAACAACAGATCATTGAAATCATAACAATTTGTCCTAAAACTGACATGAGTGTCTGGATTAAATTTCATGCTAACTCAGGCGGTTGTTATTCTAGGCGGTTTCCATCCCTGAAGTGTCTGGTTCCAACGTTTAGAAGCTTGTCTAAAATACAGAAACACGTCTGTCAAAGCAGGTTGAAATTAATAATCTATAAGCACTGAATTGATTAAGTTTAATCAGAAAAATGTGGAGGATCTTACATGAAATTCTCAGCATGAAAATGTCATAATCATCATGCACATCTGCAAGTTTCCTCATGAGAGACCAAAAAACTTCCTTAAATCAAAATATAGGTCTGCTGTGAAAGGCAGAGATGAACTTAAAGGACAAATTCATGATTATTTTGATATATTTATCTTTTCTTTGTGCTTGAATGTGTTGTTTTCTAAGCAAATAGTATGTTTCAGATTAACAATTAACTGATTACTAAATTTGATTATTCATAATTGATCTGATGAACTGTTTCAGTCCTAATATCAGCAGAGCCAATGAAAATCAAAAGAGCTGCATGAGGTTCTTCTTCATTTACATTTTTTTGTAATTATTCCAGTTATTTAAAGTGAAAAAAGTTCTGGATCTAAACCAGATGTTTGCCACTGGTTCCAGGAAATCATCCTGGCACACAGAGAGTTAAACCTCAGCCCCTCATCTCTTATTTCTTACTCTCAGCTCCAGCTTCCCACGTCGCGGTCTGCACACCTACGCCTGCTCACCAACTCATAACACCATCATTAAATTTGAGAAGACACAATCATCCCTGGGCTGATCTTGGGGAGGATGAGTCAGCATGCAGAAAAGGAACAAAGACTGTCACAGTGGATTTTAGTAAATATTCAAGCACTGAAAATAACAAAAACAAAGGCGGTAATAAGATATTTTAGAAGAATCAATCTCACAATGCCACTCTCCCATGTAA